AGAGAGCTGCTCTACAGTAAAGCAAATTCAGAATCTAATTCTGGCTGACCAAAAGGTAGCCTTCTCCAGAGGCAGGAGAGAAAGGGACCAGGCAGGCAGTGCCCTGGTTTTATCTCACTGGTTATCAAAGCAAGAGCTGTATGCCTTCCAGAAGAATACTGAACAATGACTATCTGTAGACTTCAATAAAATGGAAAAAACACTATACAGGCTACAGGAGTTAGGACTTCTTCACTTCAGTGTAGCCATCCAGCTATGACCAGCTAAAAAGCTGAATCCCAAACACACATGACTGTCATCAAGCTTCATGCCTTAGTAACACATCCAAATGCCATACATCTGTCTTTGGAACAAAAATTGTAACTTTGCTCCTGCATGTGTCCTCCTACCTCTCCAAAGTAAATTATGCCATAAAACAAAAGATTTTTTTATATAGTTTTATCAGACATCAGAATCACAAGGATTATGATGAATGTCTCATTTCTCTGGCATTCACTACGCTACCTCCAAGTAGCAAAGAGACTTTATTGTGCTAGACACCACACAAAGTCACAGATGTTATACAGAAAAGAACAGCCTGGATAAGCAAGTATGGTTTGTACATAAAGACTATCACTTTTCCAGGGGTCCTTGAACAGGCAAAAACAGGAAAAAGTGGAGGGGAAGGGGACAGGAAAACAATGACAGCCTGAGAAAAAAAAAAAAGGGTTCCGGTCACAGATGTCTCAACATATGGGAAGATGCAATGGTTGACAATCAGTTTCCCTTCCCAGTTAACATCTGGCACTGGAAGTTTTTTCTGAAAAAAAAAAAAAAAATCTGTAGTCAACTGGGGAAAAGGGTACTCAGCCAGCCACAACTGCAAGATTTACAAAGCGCTAGAAATATTAATACATTCCTCTGTGCAATCCACAGATTTAGCCAAGTCCATGACTCATGAATAGGATTGCCTAGTCCTTTAATAAGACAGAAAAGCTCCTGCAACACACAGGTGAGCAAAGAATGAACATCATCTTACATAAAGTTCATAATTGCTCTTCTCCACCCAAAAAAATCTGCTTGGTCGCTTTGCCTCTTTCTAGGTTGAAAAATGAACAATTCAAGAGCCTGTCTCCTGAAGATTTCTAAGCTGCATCTATTTCCCACTCACCAGAATAGCCTCAATCTTTCAACAAATTTTGCTGGCGAGAGAGACTTCACTCTTTATGAAGATGCAGAGGTGTACACAACACCTATTGCATGACTTCTTTGGTTTCATTTACCTCACTTCAAATATACAGAATCATAGAATGATTTGAGTTGGAAACGACTTTAAAGATCATCTAGTTCTGACCCCCCTGCCATAGCCAAGGATATCTTCCAGTAGATCAGGTTGTTCTAAGCCCCATCCAAACTGAACGTGAACACTTCCAATGATGGGGCATTCACAACTTCTTTGGGCAACCTGTTTCACTGCCTCACCACCCTCATCGCAAAAAAAAAAAAATAAAAAAAAATCTTTCTTATGCCCAGTCTAAATCTACAGTCTATATCTACCCCCTATTTCTTAAATTCAAAACTGGAACTGAATCAACAAAGTCCCAACATGGATTTCAAGAGCACCCCACAGACTGATGTTGTCTATCAGCTGTTTTCTAGTGGTGCAGGACAAGAAACCATCAGTTTTACTTGCAGTAGAGAAGTTTCAAGTTGGACAATCCATCCAACTGTAAGACTAGTTAACAGGCAATTCTGAAAGGTCATGGAGCTTCCTTTCACTGGAACTCTGTAAAGAAGAGTAACACATTTATATAGAGGTCTTCTAGGAAAGCATAATGCCCCCACAAGACAAGGAAAAAGGGTACCTAACTGCAAAGTCCCTTCTCTCTTCCTAAGCTAAAAGTATTGCCATGCACTGAGAAGTTCGAGCTTCGCTCCAGCAGCAAAAGTGACTCTCAACTCACGCAGAACACTTGCTGGGCCAGGAACGAAAAATGATCAACAGCAAAAGACAAGACATGAACTTCACATGATTTCACAGCAAGAGCTGAATGCACACATTACTGAATGGAGGAGGAGACAGGTACAAACTCAGGGTTTGAGAGATTATAGTGCATGCAAGTGAAAGTAAAAGCATGTCAAAAATCAGATTAAGATGTCATTTAACCTATAACTACCCTTCAGGAAAGAAAGCAGGGGTAATTAAAATCAAAGTCTTGTATCCATACATTTATTTCCATTATTTCTGCTACTTGTTTAGGGAACAGCAGGGTTAGAAACAAGTTTTCTCTCAGCATGAACAGTATAAATAGGCATGCCAAGCTCTGCTTTCACAAGGTGATAGATTATCACAACATTGCAAATTACGCAACAAAACACTACTGAAAACATCTCATATGCTATTAAAAAAACCTGTCAACTAGGTATTTCTTCTATGCATCACAGAACCACTCATTTAGTATTTTCAAAACTGTTTGGTTTTCAGTCTAAACAGAGCATTAGGACATTGTGAAAAACAGATAATGGCATGGTATCTTGAGAAAGTCAAGACTAAAATCCAATCAGGAAAGTCCAGAAAAGGGTAATCATACCACCAAGGGAAAAAAAACACATAGATATCAGTTCTTTCTACATTCCTAAGCCACCTGAAGAACTCTAAAGAATGCCCAGCTCCCTGAGCACTGAAATGCAGCACTTCTTAGCAAGAACACAGGTATTCATTAGACCTCACTAGCCATTTAAAGGGAGACTTAAACTTAAGCCTCGTACCATTCTGTTGTTAGAGTTCTACAGTCTTTAATTTGTATTATAATAAAGCCTGCATTGCACTAGCCCATATTTAAACACCCCCAGTGGAGGATACCAGTTGCCCCATGGTTGTGACTTCAATTTGTAGTACAGCACGGACCTGTGAAAACTCATCCTCCTTGGTTGCTGCGTGGCATCCTGGCTTACAACCCAACCCACAGGCCTCCTTGCTACGTCAACAGGGACCATGTCAAATCTGTACCATCCACAGCCCAGTTTCATAGTTTGCAAGACGAAGAAACTCAACTCCAAAGCAGCCACTTCGTGGTTTAAATTCGAGATTGGGTCATTAGCAAACAAAAGTTATTCTCACACTGTGAGAAAATACATCATGCATAAACATACAGTCTCTCCCTCTCTAAACACAGGAAGTTA